TTTATATTTATTTATTAAATAAAATTACATTGATATTTTTATTTTCTAATCTTATTTATCATAGATATGGTATTTGTATTATAAATGGGCTGGAATTTGAAAGGCACATCGGATAGGAATACGTATTGGAAATTTTGATTTACAACGAAATTCCTTATCTGCAGCTGGACCTCTTTATGCAAGTGCAGCAAAATCAAATTACACAACAGCCATAGCACATTTTCTTGCCACCATAGCAGCCCATTCCCAATTAGAAGAAAAATTACGTCACTGTAGTGCTTTTAAAATTCCACATGATGTTGATAGTGATTTTGAGAATACACATCATGTTTGCTTCAGATTTGATGAAGTTCTAGAAATATTTGGAGTAAGATTTATTAAAGGAAATATAAGTGGAAATGTTATTGATGAAAAGAATCTTAAAAATCAAATAAAAGCATCCCAAAGTGAAAGGGAAAGAATAGATCTTTTGATGAGCGAATATCTTGATGATCATTCAATTTCTCATAGTGAGCGGGCTATTGAATCACGTCAAGAATCCTTGTGGGAACTCGTTAATGACTAAGTAGAAATATTTGGAATGGATAACCCATTATCCCATTAACTGTTTCAAAAATACACACCTACAGAAATGCATAAAGAGGGACTTAGTCGTCTTCTTGCATGTTACTCAGATGGATTAGAAAGAATAAAAGGAGTATATCGACAGGAGGTTTTAAAAATAGAAAGCAGGAATACTAAAGGTAGAAGAGCAGCAGGAGTAATTAGAACAAAAGTGAAAGATTATAATGTTCAAAAAAAATCCAACCATCAACACATTACCGAATCTTCACAATCAGCACAAAAAAATACAGTTGAAAAAATGAACGAACAATCTACAGATTACCTACCCGACACAAATAAACTACAACCTAAACAAAAAAAGCATCGAACTACTAAAAAGGAGATGGAAATACTTTCCGCATTGAAAGTATATAAAGATAAACTACCAGACGATGCCATTGCTTCTGTTTGTGAAAATTTATCAGAGATTTGGTCTAAAAAAAAGGTACGAGAGTGGTGGAATTATCATAAGGACAAGTAAAATATATTTTTTCATAATAAAAAATACTTATATGTAGTTATATACTTGATTTAAATCAATTTACATAATAATAAAATAAAAATACCACATTTGTCGCAAAAATTACTATTCTAACCACCTTTGAAGCTTAAGACATTTCGATTGCACGTAAAAAATTACAATATGTTTGGTGATTTAAAAAGTGTAGTTAGTATTTATGTAAAGTTGCATCTGAGGGTTAAAGTAAAAAAATATAAGAAAGTTAGTATAATAATTTTTTTTATAAAAGTGTTGTAATATAAAAAAAGAGTGTTGGAATGTGTAAACGAAACTAAAAAAAAATAGAATTTCATTAAAGATTTGACACGACGTTTGAAAAAAATCACGTTATATTATATGTACAGCTGTTTTGTGTAATTTATTGGTCGATCAATTTTTAATTAATTATCGGCACGTGATCTGACATGACCACTGATTGATAATTTTAATTACTTAATAAATTAACTCAAGAATTATTGATTTATTTAACTTATTGATTAGTTTATTAAGAATTTAAAAAATAATGTTATTTATAATTATTTTCTAATAATTATAGAAAATATTTGAAATAAAATAATAACTTTAAAATATAAAAACTTTTAATTATTGAAATTATATATTAATATCTAATAATATATATATTTTATAAATAGTAAGCTGTCGTGTTAGAAATTAGAAGTTGAAATTTTTGATATAAAATATTATTTCAAATATCTTTTATTTTACATATAATATTAATTATCATTTTAAATTTTTAATAATTCATTAATGTAAAGTTTTTAATTTATTTTGTTAAAATTTAAATAATAAAAAAAATATTTATAAAATTGTAAATATTTGTAATTAATTTAATAATAAAAGATGAAGTAGCCATTTAAAACATTTGAATTAAATCACTTCATTTGGGATTGTTACTAAAGTCATATGCATTTAATATTTTAATAAAAAAAAATTAAATCCTGCCAAATTTATAATGCCGGCATAAACTAAGTAATTCTAAATATATCGATAGTTCTCGTCAATTTCGTCAATTGAAGTTTTGTGCACAGAAAACTCGTGTTACAAGAGATACTCCGGCTCGGAGAACCATTTGTATTAAATTAAAGGCAAAGCTGGAAAATTTTTGTGATCTACAATTTGTTAATCCAAAACCTGATTGCACTGCCTTCATTATTTCCTTGAATTACTATGATAGACATCATATGATCAACAAGTTAACATTTATGGAACTGAACTTACTGCATTATTATGAAAATTTTCTTTTTTTTTCTTTTTTCTTAAAAAATGATCTTCGAATTTTTTTCAAGTTTGTCACAAAATCTTTCTTATTTGCTTGATGAAGCAGATGATTATAATACTATTATTACAGTCGGAGAAAATCCGAATACAAAAGAGTTTCGTGCACATTCTATTATCTTGAGAGCTCGATCACCGTACTTCAAAAGTGCTCTCTCAAAAAATTGGATTTCAGAAAAAAATAATATGATTAACTTTACTAAACCAAATATTTCTCCTACAGTTTTTGAAATGATTATTAGGTAATAAATTCCTTGTTTTCAATGGCCTAAGCCATTTTTTTTTTTTTTTAATCTTTGATAAATATATATATATATATATTTTTTTGATTGTAGATATATGTACGGTGGAATTCTTGACTTGAACAAACAAAATGGCGCAGATATTCTCGACCTTCTTGTAGCATCCGATGAATTACTTATTGATGAATTGATTATTTTTATACAACAGTATTTAATTGAAAAACAAGTTGATTGGTTGCAGCAAAATTTTTTTAAAGTTCTTCTCATAGCATACCAATCGGAAAGTTGTAAAAAGCTTCTAGAACATTGTTTAGAAATTATCTGTAAAAATCCCGAAACTTTTTTTAACTCCCCAAATTTTTCAACGTTAGACAAAAGCATTCTTCTCAGATTATTTGAAGAGGCTTTGCAAATTGAAGAGGTTGAGTTGTGGAATTATCTTGTCAAATGGGGAATCGCTCAAACATCTGAATTGAATGGAAAGAGGACGACCGATTTAGAAAGTTGGAATGAAACTGATTTCTTGGCTTTGAAAAATACTTTGGATCAATTTATCTCTCACATACGATTCTTTGAAATGTCCTCAATAGAATTTCATAATAGCGTCTGGCCTTTTAGGGAAGTGTTACCTAAGAAACTCTTTGAGAGCATTATCTCATTTCATATGGCAAATATTCAACCGCAAAATATGTTGGCTCCTCGTTACAGTAAAATTGCTGTTTATTCAAATATTATCAAGTCAAAACATGCGACAATCCTTACTAACTGGATTCAAAGAAAAGATGCTAATGCAAGAATTCCAATAGATAATAAATATAAATTTAACCTCATTTATCGTGGAAGTAGAGATGGATATGATAACAATACTATACGTAATAATTGTAGTGGACATGGGGCGTGTATTTTAGTTATTAAAATTAAAGAAAATGAAACGATAATTGGTGGTTATAATCCTATTGGCTGGAATTATAATGGTCACAATCCAAATAATTATTCTCGTGATGGAGGATGGCGGGGAGCGCGTGGCGGACGTGGACGTGGAGGTCATAGATTTAATGCTCGACATGAAAATTATTGGGTTAAAACTTCGGAAAGTTTTATTTTTTCTTTGGGTGATGGAAAATCTTTGAAAAATCCAAAGATTAGTCGAGTTGTAAATCCTAATAATGCAATATATGAATCGAAATTTAATAATATTGCATTGAATTTTGGTAATAGCGATTTGATTATTAATGGTAATGCCGGGACATGCATTCGACAATATTATGATAGTAGCATTTTAGATACAATTAAGTTCAACATAGAAGAAATGGAGATATTTTATCAAAATCAGGATGTTAATTGGTCTGCCGATAGATGGAACGTTCCGATAAACGATAACAATGATTCATTTTGTGTTGCGTCTAACAATGATAACACCGCTTCATGGATAGGACCACAACATAGTTTTTCTCATAGTTTCGGTTTGACGGATGCTTTAAGCAACGCTAACAACGTTCCACGGGGGACTTTTGCTAGTACCTCTAACAACGTTCAATGGGACGCAAGTGCTCTCGAAGCATGGGGGGTGCCCCCCAATGCTAACAACAGTTTATGGGCAGACGATTCTAACGATGTCTCATGGGATTATTCACCTTGAAATGAAATATCATCACTTTTGTCTAGATAGCTTATTCGATCAATAATTTTTTTTTTTTTTAAAAAAAAAAAAAAACCTATGTATATAATTTGCCAACACCTTAATCAGAGAATTTCTGGTATAGGAAACAAGGGATACGATTGTTTTCAAAATAATAAATATTATTATATATCAAATTAGAAAGTTGCGCATTACTCTTAAATATTGGTTTTCCGACTTGACATCACGTTCAAATGATCCTTTGAACCCAAACGTGGAATTTTGAAGTTATTAAAAGAAAGGATTCAATCATATTTTAAATATAATATCTATCTTGACAGTACTGTATATAATTGAGATTTGATGATTTTTTGAATAAATTAAAAGATCAAAATTACTTTGTAAAATTGTGGTTCCAATAAAATCTTTTTCGATGTGTGAAACATTTACTTACATATATATGATTGGCTTCTTTCTTTAAAATCTTTTGTATTCGCGACTATTTGCATCTTAAGTTCTTTACAATTTTCAAGGAATGAAGGTTAATAACCTCCCGCACATGATTTTGAAAGCGGTACCACCACCACACCCTATAAAAAGTATTACGAATAAATCGCGTTTACTTTATTTGTAATTTGTTATTTTATTTTTATTTTTTGATTCCATGCAATAATTGATTTAATGTTGTTATTTCCATCGCATGACAATAAGTTGTAATAAAAAAATCTGACATTCTCATTGACAAATTTATTAAGAATCGTTTTATAAAATCATGGTATTATAATTCTCCTTTATAATCCATTCAGCAGAAAAAGCTTTAATAAAAAATTAAAAAAAAGGATAGTTCAAAAATCCACCCGAAAATAGAATTTGTTAATAGAACTACAAGATTTTGCAGAAACCTAATTATATTATACAATTTGGAATAACTTTTGATTGTACAAAATATTGAATGGATAAGCGTACAATGCACTACTTTGAACGCAACTACGCGATTCATGTCATGATGTTTTATACTGAGGTAAACATGAATTGAACTCGCACTTCCTTTCCATTTTTCATAAATATACATATTCTTTGGCGTTATGGCGTTGTTTTATATGGCAATTCAATTTTCGAAAGGTATTAATTAAGTTCAGCCAAGTTTCCAACAAAAGACAATGTAATACAAGACGTGATGCGAATCGTATTATCATATTAATCATTGAATTTTGGCAATAGACGCGTGAATTGATCAAAAATAACATTAACCTAATCAGGAGCTTTATTCGAATCAAATTATTTACTCTTCTCATATTAAACTATTTCATAGATCTTAACGCGAATCAATATATCAATTAATAAAGTATTATTGTATAATTACGCTAAGGACTTCCATCTCTTTAATTTGATAAATTCCAGTTGAATTTAAGTCATTCTCATAATGCTTCGTTTTATGGATTTTTAAAATTTGATCAACTACCCTAAAACTATTTCCGAAATTTAACCCACGATTGCGATACTCATGAAATGCGCAACTAGTTTTCACACGACTAATTCTCATATTTTGTAAATCAAATTCATTATCAAAAGAAAAGTAAAAACTATGTGGTGTGTTATACCATTGGCCTATATCATTATCCTCAAATCCTATTGGATTAAATGCACCAAGTATTTTTGATGAAGAATCAACTTTAATTAAAACTAAACATCTCCCTTGTCCATTACACCTACTTCTAATGAGTTATTGTCAAGTCCGTCGCGTTTACCGCAAAACAAAAGTTTAAATGTGTACAATGAATCATTCTTACTACGAGTAAAGTTTGCGTCTTTTTTTTCGATCCAATTTGCAATGATAAGAGCTTGTTTGTATTTCATAATATTCGATTCGATTTTAATGATTCCGGCTCGCGGTTGTACATTTGTTGTTGTTGGTAAGGTATTCACAACTATCACCGTTTTCACTTCCCAATCCAGGAGTTTGTTCAATGCCCCATCTTAATAAACATTCCCATATGACGACTTCTTCAATTTGCAAATCATCTCGCGCAAGCAAGCTATAGAGAATGTCTCTATCTAATGATTGAAATTCTTTCAAAGTAATAAGTAATTGCGGGTCTGAACAGATGGATTCAAAACAATAATTTTGTAACTTCTTGAAACTATCAACGTTGAACACAGTATGAAGGATCAGGACCAAATTTTGTTGAACCCAGCTATCTTTTTTTTTAATCATGTAATATTGTACATGTTCTAATAATTCTTCAAGCATTAATTCATCTGATGCAACTAATAATTCAAGAACATCTTCTCCCAATTGCTCGGTTAAATCAAGTTCACCTGTGTAAATATATCTTAAAATAGGTTGGTTGATTTTGTTTTATTTTTTTTTATAAAAAAAAATTTACAGAGATAACCGCCTCAAAATAAATATATAAATAAAACTTACTTTAAAATCATGTCAAAAACAATAGGTGTGATATTTGGTTTGTTAAAAATGATCATATTATTCTTCTTTGTAATCCAATTCGACGAAAAGGCGCTTTTGAAATATGGAGAACGTGCTCTTAAAATAACTGAATGTGCATAAAATTCTTTTACATTCTGATCTTCAACAACTCGAATGATAACGTTAAAATCATCAGCATCCTTCAAAATTAGAGAAAGATCCTTTGAAAGATTAGAATGAAAGATTGAAGTCATTTTTTTTTAACAAAAAAAAAAAAAAAAAAGTTTGAAATTTTTGATTGTTAAAATTTTTATAAATAAGGTTACATAATATGGATGTTGATCATAATAAATTAGGTTTGGTTTGGTGCTTGGCTTGGGAAAAAAAAAAAAACTTTTTCTCATTAAATTTAAAAAAAAATTAAAATAATAAACGAAAGATGACTTTTAAAGGTTTTAATGAATTGTCACAAAATTTTTTAGAGATGCATAAAGATGCAGATGATTATAATGTCATTATCAAAGTTGGAAAGAGTCCGAATATAAAAGAATTTCGTGCTCATTCGAATATCTTGAAAGCACGATCACCTTACTTTAAAAGAGCTTTTTCACAGAACTGGATTAAAATACAAAATAATATGATCCACTTTGATAAACCGAATATCTCTCCTACTGTCTTTGAAATGATTCTTAGGTAATCAACTTGAGGCGTGTTAATTATTCAAAAATTCATGTTATTTTTCGACAACGTATAAATATTGATAGGATATGTTAACTCTTCATTATCATTATTTTTTTTCGAATTCCTTATCATTTTTTAGATATTTGTATACTGGCATTCTTGATTTTAAAAGTCAAACCGGATCGGATATTTTTGATCTACTTGTAGCATCTGATGAATTACTTATTGAGGAAACGGTTATCTTTGTACAAAAGTATTTAATTGAAAACCGAATTGAATGGTACCATTCAAATTTTAACAAGGTTCTTCAAACGGTATTCCAATATGAAAGTTGCAAGCAATTCCAAGAATATTGTTTAGATTCGATTTGTGAAAATCCTGAACCTTTTTTTAATTCGCAAAATTTTCCAAAGTTAGAAAAAAGTATATTACTTGGATTATCTAAGAGGGAAGATTTGCAAATTGAAGAGGTTGAGTTGTGGAATTATCTTGTCAAATGGGGAATCGCTCAAACATCTGAATTGAATGGAAAGAGGACGACCGATTTAGAAAGTTGGAATGAAACTGATTTCTTGGCTTTGAAAAATACTTTGGATCAATTTATCTCTCACATACGATTCTTTGAAATGTCCTCAATAGATTTTCATAATAACGTCTGGCCTTTTAGGGAAGTGTTACCTAAGAAACTCTTTGAGAGCATTATCTCATTTCATATGTCAAAAACTCAACCCAGGCAATATAAGTTTCCTCGTCATAGAAAAATTGCTATCGATTCAACAATCATCAAATCAAAGCATGCGACCATCCTTGCTAACTGGATTCAAAGGAAAGATGCCATCGCAAAAATTCCAAAGGATGAAGATTACTTTAGACTTATTTATCGTGGAAGTAGAGATGGATATGATTTCGATACAATACGTAACAAATGTATTTTTCAGGGAGCTTATATTTTACTTATCAAGGTTAAAGAGAATGGGTCCATAATCGGAGGTTATAATCCACTCGGCTGGAATTTCAATCAAAATCAAAATCAAAATTGGGGTTTCACCTGTGATAGTTTTATTTTTTCTTTAGGTGATGGAAAGTATTGTCAAGATTTTAAGCTTTGTCGAGTTACAGATAGCAGTAAGGCAATTTGTAACAACGCTTTGAAATTTGGTAATAGCGATTTGGTTGTTAATGTTAATAGAGGTACATGTAATCAACAATCTTATCAAGGCAGCATTTTAGATATAAATGCATTTACCATCGAAGAAATGGAGATCTTTGCTTATACGTCCCCGTCAAAACAAATAATTACTCTGGTTTGGTTTGTTTTACTAGCATTTCTATTTTATTTGTTTGTTTTCTAATATTTATATTTGATATTATAAAGAGAAGGTCAAGATACAGTATTATAAAATATCAACGTTGGCAACTTTTGTAAGTCCAATTATTTGGATTTTTGTGTCTTTATAGCCGTATTAAACACCCCAAAAAAACTTCGGTTGATATTATCGAATATGTTATTATATTTCTCCGATTTTGTATAAATAAACGTATTTGAATGTTACCAATGTTACCCAAATGAATTACTAGTGAGATAATTATATATGCTATCGTTCCGGTAAGATAAATTCTCTGTAAAAAATGTAACAAAGTTTTTCTCTGTCTCAACGTTGCTTTGTAAAAGTCTAGAAGCCCAATTTTTACGTCATTTCATTATGGTGTATAAGTTAACCTAAGCGAGAAAAGATGCCAGTATTTTCATTATTATTAAATTTGTAATATAATCAAAAGTAATGTTACAATTCATTGCTTTTGACGTTCCCAAGATACTCATTAATTCAAATTACAAATCATTGTCTTCGGATCAAGAAGAATATAATGATATTTCATAAACGGTTCAAAAGCAATCAAATAAAAATAATGATAACCATACAACTACTCTGCCAAAACAGAGAAATGGAAAACGAAGAACCAACAAGGGTAATTAAGGATTTACGAAAACAAATGAAACGTGCAGTTCGTGAGTTTCGTGAGTGGATTCATCGAAAGGAATACTCCTATGCCAGAAGCTTCCGAAGTTCAAGCTAAACTTTTTATTATTTACCACAATAAATAGTTTTTACGCGCAATGATACTAAAATACTTAGCTTTGTGAAAAAATTTACGAATCTTACCAGGATATTTCGTATGAATGAATGACTCATGACACAATTTTAGAGATTCAAGATTTATTGAATTATTTAAAGACATAATGAACTTAGATTTTATTCGAGGAACAATTTAAAGCTAGATAAAGTATCGGGGGCAATTTTTTTTTTTTTGTGGTTAAGGCCTTCTTCTTATTGCTCTATCGATTATATGTTCGTTATACCATTAGTAAATGCTCTTAGCTAACGCCGAAGTTTCGATTGAATGGTCAGAGTTATAAGAAATTTCAGTTTTATTTTTCGTTTTTTTTTTGTTTCTATTTTTTTTTTAATTAAGATTATCTTTTCAGAATGAAATATAAGATACATATATCGTACGATAAAGCTTTGGTTTGTATAGCGAACTATATCATTAATTATTAAAGATTAATAAATTGTTAGAAGAAGAAGCAGGGGCTCAAGATAGCTAATGCATTTAATGCCGGTCGTTTCGTGAAATTTTTGAGGTTCTGCTACAAACAATCGTGTAACATATAAATTCTTTCAAAAACATGTAATTTCTTCCATTAGGTTGAATACTCCGTTTGTTTCATTTTCTCTTGACAAAAAGAAAATTATCCAATGTATCCAAGCAAAGTTCAAAACGAAATCTGTAGCACATCATTTGACTAATGTGTCTTTTAAAAACGTACGCTGCTGGCTTTTTGTAATTTTTAATTATTCATATCATAATCTAAAAATAAGAACAAGACAAAGTTGTTTAGCTTCAAAAGAAATAAGGAGTAAAGAAAAATCGAAAGCTCTCAGATGAATAACTTTTTTGGTGTTTTGGCTAATTTCTTTTTTGATTCAATCGGAACAGTTGCGACATCATAAAGCTTACATTTGTCAGAACGTAGATGATAAGTTGAATGAACATGAGATGAATATCCTATGGTTGACAAGGTCAGATATCAAAATGTTGAAATATATACAATATTTTCATCAGCATGATAACATGGTTTGTCCTTTTCGGAAAATCATATTGAGTATTTTACCATCCTTTCATAGGTGCGATCAATAAATCAAGCCAGAAAGTGTCGTACTCGAATAGTCAGTACAAGGAAGCTCACTGGTCGAAAACTGGATGAAATTGTTTTTGCTATGCTCTATATAACCAAAAAAATAAAAAATCGATTTTCAAATCACGTTACGGAAAATCATATGATTTACTATGTTCGTGACATTTTTAAATTGAAACCATTTGAAAACGATCGGCGTAATCTTTTCCGTGAAAATTTTATTTTAAAATGGTCTTTAAATTTTTTTCTGGATTGTCTCAAAATTATTGTCAGTTGCTCGATAATGCAGAGAATTATGATGTTATCATTAAAGTTGGAGAGAATCAAAATACAAAAGAATTTCATGTACATTCTATCATCTTGAAAGTTCGATCAATTTACTTTAAGAGAGCTTTCTCAGAGAATTGGATTGTGAAGAAAAATAATATCATTAACTTTGAGAAACCAAATATTTCTCCTACAATTTTTCAAATGATTATTGGGTAAGGATTTCCTGAGTTCCTAACCCAACTTCTGTGAACATAAAATAACTCTTTAAACTTGCTCGCTATTATAAATTAATCTTTAATTTTTTTTTTTTTTTAAATTTAGATATATTTATGCTGGTATTCTTGATTTGGACGAAAGTGATGTCAATGATATCCTAGATCTTCTTATAGCATCCGATGAGTTACTTTTTGCAGAGATGGTTATTTTTGTACAAACGTATTTGATTGACAATCACAGCGAATGGTTACAACAAAATTTTGTCAAAGTTCTTCACGCAATATTTCAAATAGAAAGTTTTAAACAACTTCAAGATTATTGTTTAGATCATATTTGTAATTTTCCTGAAGTTTTTTTTAACTTACCAGATTTTCCAAAATTAGAAAAAAGAATTCTACTTGAATTACTCAAGAGGGAAGATATTCAAATTGAAGAAATCGAATTATGGAATTACCTTGTCAAATGGGGAATAGCTCAAACTTCTGAATTAAGGGAGAAGGACGTGTCTGATTCAAGTAGTTGGAATGTAGAGGATTTCATGGCTTTGAAAAATACTTTGAATCAAATTATTCCGCACATCCGATTCTTCGAAATTCCTTCAAAAGATTTTTATCTTAAGGTTTGGCCTTTTAAGAAAGTGTTGCCTCAAGCTTTCGTTGAAGATATTTTGTCATTTCATATGACAAGTGCTCTACCTAATCAAATAACGTTAATCCCTCGTCATGGAAGAATTACCGTTGATTCAACGATAATTAATTCGAAACATACGGCCACCCTTAATAACTGGATTCAAAGGGAGGATGCTAACGCAAAAATCTCAAATGATAGTAAATATGATTTTACACTTATTTATCGTGGAAGTAGGGATGGTTTGGATAGCAATCCTGTGATTTGTTCATGTAAAGGGGGGAATAAAGCAACTCTTTTGATTATTAAAATCAATGATGATGATGAAACTATACTTGGTGGTTATAATCCTATTGGTTGGAAATATAATAATAATTTTTATGACCAATGGGCGTCTACTAGTGAAAGTTTTATTTTCTCTTTTAAAAGAGATTTGACAAATGCCAAGATTAGTCGAGTATTAAATGGCTCTAAGGCAATATATGAATCGAGCGCATTTAAATTTAATTTCGGCAATAGCGACTTGGTCGTTAATCATAAAAATAAGAGTGGTACGTGTAAGAAAAGACATTATGAAAGTAGCATCTTAGATTCGGAGAATTTTATGTTTGAAGAAATGGAGGTTTTTAGAATTTTTAAAAGTAAACAGACATTGTGAAATTTTTTTTTTTGTAAAGCAACGCCTGAGAGTTTCATTTTAAAAATAAAATTTATATTAGAACTGACTGAATTCTAAACTGTTATCGATAAAATAATATCTGCAAATGATCTTTATATTTTCAAAAAAAAAAAAATTAATTATAAACTGAATTATTGGAAATATTTTGATCTTTTATTTTGAAATCGAATTATCGATCTTCCAACAATTAAAGGATGTCGAAATTTTGGACACGTCAGGTATCGGTAAATCGAGGTTTCCTGCCTGATTAACTTACATTATGCAAAAGATTAATGACATGGTCAATTTTTTAAGTGTTCCAATTTCATCGCTAGAAACTTTGACGAATTATACTACCCCAAACGATACATAAGAACAGTAAATTCTGATCGTCAAAATTATCAATAGCAAAAAAACTTCAAGAGTTCGTGAAGAATCTTACTTTTAGCATGTCGTCATACTTGTCGACAGATTTCACAATCTTTTTTAATATCTAGAAATTTTTTTAATTTTCTTCTTTGCAAGTGACCTTATTATAAGATTATTTGACAGCTTGATTAATGGTTAAGGATTTAATGCATGCACTTTTTAAAAAGCATTATTATCATGGTTAGAAGCTTCTCGGCAGTGTTGATACCTGAACTTGGTGATGAAGCGGGTAGCATGCCAAGATACGTTCTTTTGATATCAGTAATAAGGATCAACCAGCTGTGTTCAAGAATCAAGACAATGACTTTAAACGTTTAGAGAATTTCAGCAAGTGACCTTTTTGATAAATCAGGAAAATCTAGCAGATGAAACAAGCTTATTTCTAAAATTCGAATTTAATGATTCGTCTCTTCAAGGTTGTGGTCAAACATAGGACTACGTTAAAGTTTTGTATGCTAATTTCCGAAAATGATTTATTCCATCAGATCAGTTCCTTTCCGAAATATATTGTATCTATCATGTTGACGGTGGTGTAACTTGGAAAAGTAAATTGGTATATAAGGTGTCAGGAAGCAAGTTCTTTATTGTTTCATTCTGCTGGATGATTTAATACCAAAAAAAAAATTTAAAGATCATAAAGTCATATGAAAAAAAAAATTTATTATGCTTACCTTTCATCCTTTTTAAAAGCTCATCCTCTCTAGCAGCCTCTCTTATAACGTTATAGCCACTGGTTTATAACTGGTATTTCTGCAATTACATTTGGATTTCAGAACCAGTTTTGTTTCGAAACTGGATTTGGTGAGGCCAAATACGATAGCTTGAAGAAGCAAAACCCATACCGTACAACACTCTGAACGACTTAAACCAGACTTGCCTTGCATAGTAATTGTCGCAGGAAATTTTCTTGGTGTAATATTGTGTGCATCAGGTTAAGGTCGCAATATGTTAATACTATCGTTTTCGAGACTTTCGGGATTATAGTTTTCGGATTTTGAATTCGAGGATTTCGTATCAGATCAGATCTAGGTATACAAAATTACGGCACCGCACAATAAGACTGAACGAAGGTCCTTCATTTTCCCTAACTGAAAATATATATTTTATATATTTAGAAATGTCATACCATTCATTAACACATTTTGATAAACTTTTATTTCTTATTATGATTATGAATTATTTTCCGGACTGTCTCAATATTTTTCTCAACTGCTTGATGATACGGAAGATTATAATGTCATTATAAAAGTTGGAGAAGATTCAGATACAAAAGAATTTCGTGCACATTCTATGATCTTGAGAGCTCGTTCACTTTACTTTGAAATTGTTCTCTCTGAAATTGGATTACTAATAAAAATGATATGATTAAATTTAAAAAAGCCAAATATTTCTCCTACCATTTTTGAAATTATTATCAGGTAATACATATTCGAAAAGAATTTTAATAGTAAATTAAGTTATAATTTTTCTTTTTTTTGCTAATTATAGGTACTTGTATACGGGCATTCTTAATCTGAACAAACAAACTGGCTCCGATATTCTTGTTCTTCTTGTGGCATCCGATGAATTACTTGAGAAACTGATTTATCTCGTACAAAGCATTTGTATGAAAAACAAAACGAATGGTTACAACAAAATATCATCAAAATACTTCACATGATATCTCAATTGGAAAGATGTAAACAACTTAAGAACAATTGTTTGGAATCATCTGTAATAATCTTGAATCATTTCTTGACTTTCCGAAATTTCAACATTAGAATAAAATATTCTGCTTGAACTACTTAAGGAGAAGATTTAAACATTGATGATAGGGATGTTAAAATCCAGTCCGTTCCTAGTCCGAAACTCCCAGTCCTAAAGAAGACCCGGTCCATAGGACTTGGGTCCTAGGACTGGATTCTAGGACCAGGTCCCGAGACTGCAGTCCTAGGACCAGGTCCTATAGAAATTAGGACTTGCGGTCCTAGGACTCGGTCCTATAGAAATTAGACTTGCGGTCCTTGGACTGCGGTCTCATAGAAAAATAATCGTTCAAGAAGAATGATAAGTAATCGTTCGACTTGAACGATTATTTTTCTATAGGACCGCAAGTCCTAATTTCTATAGGACCGCAGTCCTATAGTTAAAAGGACTTTGAACTGGACCGGAATTCGTAGGACTGTTTAGGACCTAGTCCCATGGGACTTTTTAACATCCCTAATTGATGAAGTCTTATTAAATGAGGTATCGCTCGAAACTTCTGAATTGAAGGAAAAGGATGCGAGTAACCAAAGTACAAACAGGACTTCTTGGCTTTGAAGAATACTTTGAATCAATTCATCGAATATTTGATTCGTCGATATTCCTTCAAAAGATTTTCATGACAAGGTTCGACCTTTTAAGAAAGTTTTGCCTAAAACACTCTTTGATGATGTTGTGTCGTTTCATATGGCAAATATTCAACCTAGTCAAGTTATATTGCCTCCACGTCATGGAAAAATTGCTGTTGATTCAATAATCATTAAACCAAACATGTGGCTATCCTTGCTAATTGGATTCAAAGAAGAGATGTTGCGAGAATTCCAAAAAATAAAAAGTATAATTATAACCTTATTTATCTTGGAAGTAGATGGCTATGATGTCAATATTATACGTATTATGAAACTCACCGTTGTGTTGATACTAGTGAAAGTTTTATTTTTCCTTTAGGTAATGGAAACAATTCGAAAAGTTTTAATATTATAGTAAATATGCATTTTATGATCAATTTATCATAACATGACATTAAATTTTGGCAATTTGTCAATGGAAATATTGGCACATGCTATCAAAAATATTACAGAAATAAAATTTGAATGCAATCAATTTTATCATCGAAGAAATGGAAATTTTTGCATTAGGGTTTATTCTTTATTATGAGGAAGTTTATTCATATCTTTATTTTCAGTTTACGTATGCTTTCTATTGTATATTATAATTTTAGAAAAGAAGTAAATTTATTCTTATCATAAATAAGAAGCTATCCATTCTAAAATCTTTCCATTTCTTAGATAATTCAAAACCGAGTTTAGGATGATAGAATTATGACCGCATTTGACTACGCAACGATATATGTGCAAGACTTTAACTCATCATTTGCACAAATGCCTATGCTATTAATGCTATTAATCGATAAAAGTATCAAATAGCGAATTTCTAGTGATAAAGCGATAGAGAGAATTAGGATATGCTTAATACCTTTTGAATATGATGCAATCCATGTTTAATTTGGATAGTTACAGGAAAAAAAGTTCAAGTTTATATTTAACATAAAAAAGGGATATTTTTAATAAGGAAATAATTACATAAATACTTTCTTGAGATCAATTTTCCTTAAAAGAAAAATAAAATAAAAATAAAATAAAATAAAACTGTAGTTTTTATATGAAACAATTTTGGAGGTTTTGGACAGGTTTTTTTTACCTATTCCTAGCTTTCTCGTGAATTTCCATCGAACACATATAAATCACCGATTTTTTTTTTATCTCTCGCGTCACGAATAAAGTTAGATAGATAACAGCACTCAAAGAAATCGTCACACCAATGTAATAATCTGATATATTCAATGTATGTATGCTTTAAAACGTATGGTTTTTTCATAACAAGTAGTCCATACTTGTATGTTTACTGACACTATATTCCCTAAACCGTAAGGATCATTGCTTTTTTGTCGTACAAACTTTTTCTCATAGTATGTTAAAGGTTACACAACACGTTACTTTTTTAAAAAAATTACAATAAAACAATGACTTCTAACCAAGGTCTTACTCAGAGAATTGAATTTTACCCAGGATTATCTCAACAATTTTCTCAATTGTTAAATGATAATGATGATTATGATATTATTATCAAAGTTGGAGCTAATACGGATGCAAAAGAATTTCGAGCGCATTCTCTTATTTTGAAGGCTCGTTCACCTTACTTTAAAAGGTCTCTCGCACAGAAAAAAGATGGTATCATTAACTTTGATAAACCAAGCATTTCTCCTATAATTTTCGAGATGATTATTAGGTAATATATTAGTATGAAGTTTACTAAATTGTCCAGTAACATTCCTAAATGAATGCTCTTTTCTACCGTTAAAATAATCTAAAATTGAATAATGATTTAATTTAAATTTTTTTTTTGATATTAGATATATGTATACAGGAATTCTTCATTTGAACAAACAAATTGGCAACGATATTCTTGAACTTCTTGTGGCATCCGATGAATTAATGATTGAGGAACTGATTAACTTCATAAACGAGCATTTGTTTGGAAAACAAAATGAATGGTTACAACAAAATATCGTCAAAGTACTTCACACGGTATCTCAATTGGAAAATTGTAAACAACTTAGAAATAATTGTTTGGAATTCATCTGTAATAATCCTGAATCTTTTTTTGAACTGCCGGAATTTCCAATATTAAAAATAAGTATTATGCTTGAGTTACTTAAAAGAGAAGATTTAAACATTGATGAAATTGAATTATGGAATAATCTTATTAAATGGGAATTGCTCAAACTTCTGAATTGAAAGAAAAGGATGCGAGTAACCAAAGTAATTGGAACAAACAGGACTTCTTGGCTTTGAAGAATACTTTGAATCAATTCATCAAATATATTCGATTCTTCGATATTCCTTCAAAAGATTTTCATGACAAGGTTCGACCTTTTAAGAAAGTTTTGCCTAAAACACTCTTTGAAGATATTGTGACGTTTTATATGACAAATGTTCAACAAAATATGCCGCCTCCTCGTAATAGAATTGCTGTTGATTCAAAAATCATTAATTCAAAACATGCGGCTATCCTTGCTAACTGGATTCAAAGAACGGATGTTAACGCAAAAATTCCAAAGAATATCAAATATAATTTTAACTCATTTGTCGTGGAAGAAGTGATGGTTATGATGTCAAAACCATGCGTGTTAAATGTTATGGAAATGGAGCGTGTATTTTGATTATTAAAACTAATGAAAATGATGCTGTAATTGGTGGTTATAATCCTCTTGGTTACAATATAAGAACTTCTCATAAAAATGTTTTTTATCAGGAGCATACTGAAGAAAGTTTTATTTTTTCTTTTGATAAAAAATACTCGAAAATTAGTCGAGTTGCAAATGCAAATCATGCAATTTATGAATCTTATAATTCTTATGAACATGCGTTGGATTTTGGCGGTGGTGACTTGGTTATTAAAGGTAATGCCGGCACATGCAAAAAAAAAAAATTATAAAAATAAAATTTTAGATACAGAAAAATTTACCATCAAAGAAATGGAGATTTTTTCATTTAAGGTTGATAAAATTATTTAAACTATTTGTAAATTTTTTTTTATTTTATTTGCATAACTTTATTTAGTTTACACAGTACATTATGATTTATCTTATTATAAGTAAAATCGTTTTCCTTCTTTAAGCTAAAGTTGGTCAAATATCAGACCCACGCTAACGTCTAACCAATTTATGCTAATGCAGACATAATAATTTAAGGTTTTTATTAAAAAATACACATGTATATATATTCGTAAATATTGATGAATATAGGTTTTATTCTAAATTACCGAATAAGTTAAAAGCGAGGTAGAAAATTTATCAATCTGAGTATAATCACGAAACCTCAAAAAAAGTACAGATGGTGCTCGAGGCGGGTCATATACCGTCAATATTTAGAGAACTCAACTCGAATTATAAGGTTAATATTAATGCCAAATGATAATTAATTTTTTTATTTTGCAATAATCAATAACTTTTAATTATACGCAGATAATGATTATGAGTATTATTTGTCCTAGTTTGAACATCAATCCAATCGCCAAGGATTCGTTGCTTTTTGAATCATTTAACTTGCAAAGTTATTTTTATGAATAAAATTATATTCAATTATTTTTTAAAAATAGTTCCGAAAAGTTAAGACACCACATAAAGTTCAAAGAAGTTCTTGATATAACTGATTATTTGGAAATTCACGGTGCAACAAACTTGTCTTCTTGTAGTATTAATTTTCGCACGTTACATTACACTTAAAATAAATAAAATAAAGCCTCAATTTTTCCTCCTTTTTTTTTTTTTTTTTTTTTTCGATATTAAATATAATATGACTATTATCAAGCTCCTAATAATAAGGCCTTTGAATTTTACCTGGATTATCTCAAAATTTTTCTCAGTTGCTTGATAATGACGATGATTATGATGTTGTTATCAAAGTTGGAAAAATTTCAAATGCAAAAGAGTTTCGTGCGCATCCTATTATTTTGAATGCACGATCACCTACTTTAAAAGAGTTCTCTCATTTGTAAACTTGGTCTAATGTTTTTTCTACGAGTAGTTTTTACAGTTCGTTAATAAGTCATTTAAAGTTTGGGTGCTGAACTGCCACTGGCTTATTTTCTCCGCGCTGTGGTGTTCCTGCTCTATTGGTGAAATTTCAAGCCCGCTTCATTGTCCGCTTGTTGCTTGCTGTGAAACATTTGGGTCTACATCATTTAAAAACTGATTTAAAAGATCGTGTATTTGCTTAGTAATAGTTATATTTTTTCTTTAAGCGATGGAAAAAATTCGAAATATTTTAAGATTAGTCGGGTTATTAATAGTAAATATGCATTATATTCATCGAATTGTCAAAACATCTTATTAAATTTTGGCAAAAGTGATTTAATTGTCAAAGGAAATGTTGGCACATGCAAGCAAAAATATTATGGAAAAAAAATTTTGGATACAAACAATTTTACAATCGAAGAAATGGAAATTTTTGCGTTCAAGGTTGAGTAATATAAAAATTTCTTTATTACGAGGAATATTCTGCTGCTGTACATTATAGTTTTATCAATAGTTTTATCAATAAAAAAGCTTTTAAATATTATTATAAATAATTGTAAATTAAACGAAGTAAATTCATTTACATATATCAAAACTAAAGTTTGATGGTATATCGTCAACTATTAGAACCACGCTAACAAATGAATTTTAAGTAACGCAGAGGGTCTATTTAATTAAGAAAACAATGAGAATAGGTATTCATTTCCTCTCTTAAATAAGTTAAAAGTAAAGGATGATATAACAATTAATAAATATAATCTTCCAGAAAGAAGTATTTGAGGTCCAGTCGCGGCCGAACATTATGAATGCAATTGCAAATGTGAACGAAATTGCGGACAAGTATTATGTCCATACTAACATACAAACTGATTGACTACGAGGAAAAGTTTCAATCAGCGAATTTTAGGGGTAACGTGAGAAAATAAGCTTAATAAATCTGAATAAAATATATAACCACTATGGGCGAAGAAACTTGTAGCGCAACTTTCACATTGTTATTGAAATTACTGAAAAACCGAGATTATTTAATCTATAGTTTTTATTTTTAATGTAAAATTTATTTTTTATAAGTAAATTATAACATACCAGTTACTAGATTCATGGTAATTTATAACATACAGTAAATATACTTACTCGGGATCATGTAGTCACTATTATATTTTTTTTTTTTTATAGTTCAGATTTAATACTAATATGTTTTAATCACCGATAATTCATAGAATACCGTTCTTATAATGGAAATTCTATTACGAATTTTTTACATGTGATAATTCTCATCATATGTTTTCCTTTGCTTTCTTTATTGAATTAAATTCTTTAAGAATGTACTTTTTCATCAATCTTCATGTATTTCACGTGCTTTTTCAAACGCGAGGCATTTTCTCAATGAAGGATCCGAAACCTTTTATGAAATCATGCTAAAAATTTAAATGAATACATTGTTGTATTCGGTGCTTTTGTTTATGTATTTTAAACAATCTGTATTTGTAAGCAGAGGGATTTTATTAAAGGAAAATGAAATAACTATAATAATTATGACGATAAATTATTTTAATAATATCAATTAATCAGTGTTGGCGCTCTACACTTTTCGCAATGTCATTATATTAAACTAAATTAATGCTAATTAATTGAAGCTACACAAATAAATAAAATTAAAGATTAAATAAGAAAATCGGAACTTAAAAATAAACGAAGTTACAACGTTAAAATTAATGAGGTTAAAACGGCGATAATATCGCAAAGGAGAAAAAAGGTTTACGGTGTATATATGCAATAATAAAAAGGGCTGGCCGTGTATGTTGAGTTGTTTAAGAATTTCCAACACATATTTATAAAAAAGAAAAAATAAAATAATTAGAACAGCCTGTCAACAATTTACAAAGCGAGGAGGAATTAAGATATTGAGATATATTGATTTTACTGGTAACGCATCACCCTCGAGAAAATATCCGGTCAGGTGAAAATAAATAATTTATGTATCGGATGATTTTTAATTGACCAAAAAAAAAAAAAAAAAAAAAAAAATCCGTTGCAAAGCCAACTAGTCATCTTTTAATTAAAAACTTGGTTGTTGATTATTTTGCATTTTTATAAAATTATAATTATAAACTTTAAATTTTAGATGTTTGTCAATTGTAAATGGATATCTTGATCATTAATTTTATTTTAAAAAAAAAAAAAAAAAGAACGCGTGCATTCTTGGCAGCATCTCGTCAGCCATGGGTATTACACAAACCTGCACGGTTAGCAATGTATGTATCTGGTTTTTTTTTTAACGTATGTATGGTATGTATGCTTTAAAACTATACATGTATGGTTACATATATATGAAAAAAAACCATACTATACACACATTGTTAACCGTACTGTCAGCAATAAATTCTTGTCTTGTTCGCTGTTGATCGATTGCGAAATTTATTCCATGATTCTATGCAATGATCATCTGTCAGAAAAGAATTCTTCACAGCCACTTCTTTTGAATATAAATATATCTCCTATTATCGCAAAATCTTGTCTACTAAAATTTTTTTTTGCAAATTTTAAATTTTTCTTGAAAACGCTTTTTTGCTTCAGCATGGGTAAATCACAACGCATCCGATATTTCTCTCAACGCCGATACAACCTTCGCAAAGTAGCAAGAAGAAACTCGCCAACAACGTCTCGATAGCTTAGAAATAGAATACCATCGTCAACGGCAGCTTAGGTTCAAGTTGCTCAGTTTTTTATTGAAAATAACCGACTTAATAATGAACCATACACTTCAGCAGAGCAGGGAGTATGGCTTCCCATTTCATGCTCAATTTAATGAATAAACGACTATTAATATTTTTCTTAGGGAGGGATGTCGTAGAAATGTTTGCTCGTCCTAGAACTACGTTTTGTCGAGATAGTCTTTTCTTTTCATGTATCTATTTGTTTCTTTTGTATTTTTATGTACTGTATGTTTCTTTTTCAACTATTCAATAAAATTTCCAAAGATTTGACTTTTAAATATAAATATGATGTAAATATTAATTTTCAATAATAATAAAAGGTAGTGTCACGGTATTGTCGCAGTGTTGCGGGTAAATTACTAAATTTAACATATGTCCCGGGTTAGTCGCGAGTTAAAATTGCATAACTGCCATGATTTGAATTTAAATTTATCTTCTAATAGAATTCTACTGATAACTAACCTTTGCTTTTAAAAACAAGTTGTAGCCATCAAATATTTACATAAGAATTTCGAGAAAAATTAATTTAGTACATTATTTTCTTTGAATTTGCGTGAAAAATACAATAGTTTTTTTCAAATTCGGAAAAGAAAGCTCATCATTTTCCTGTAAGTCTTAATCACCTTTTCTTGAATCAAGTATATAAACCTTATAATAATTCTGCTCTATTTATCCGAAAAATTTCCCAGCTTTGCTCTCAAACAGACGAGTTCTTAAAATGGGATTCATATTTAGCATAAAAATCACCATACGGAAAGCCTTTCAACTATATTAAACACATACCTTTTTTAAATGTAATGAAATTCGAATAAAACCAAAAAAACAATTTAGTAGCATACCCAGTAAAGTATATTAACGCTTTAACAATATTTAGTAATTCTAAAGTTGGCCTATTTAGTAAAAAAAAAAAATTATACTATATCTGCCGTTTAAGATCTGCTAAGTATGAATAAAGTTTATGCAGAATTTTTTCGTAATTTTTAAATTATTACAGAATTTAGTAGAAGTTGAAAATTAGATGTCCGCTGTCAAGAATATGTGTATATTTACGAGTTGATGATTGCTCTCTTCTATATATTTTTTTTTTTGTTATAATAAAAAGTGTCCTGTACCTTTATAATTTTATACAGAGAACTTTTCTCATATCGTCTACTAGTTCCCATTCTCTATTTTTTTGTATTAACCGCTTATTTATTGGTGTATATCGTTCGTGCATTTAATTTAAGCTATTTTGGTAATTTAATTTTTTCTACCACTTTTTGATACAGGAGTAAAATTTGGTGGGTAAATTGAGTTTTTCGAATGGCGCAGGTTACAATATTTGGAGTTGTTTTTGTTTTTGTTAAGCATTGAAAGAGATTTTAGATAGTTAATATGTCCGATCTAGGAAAAGCTTGACGGATATTCACGGCCGCCGGATAAATTGTCCGGATCGCGAATCTAGTACAGTGCAACGTCTTTGTCGTCATGTTACATTACACTTAAAATATAAATAAAATAAAACTTCTACTTTTTTTTTTTTTTTTTTTAATAAAATCTCTAAATTAATTATAATATGACCACTAATAAAGCTCTTAATAATAAGGCCTTTGAATTTTTCCCTGGATTATCTCAAAATTTTTCTCAGTTGCTTGATAATGACGATGATTATGATGTTGTTATCAAAGTTGGAGAAAATTCAAATGCGAAAGAGTTTCGTGCGCATTCTATTATTTTGAAGGCGCGATCATCCTACTTTAAAAGAGTTCTCTCCCAGAAGAAAAATGATGTCATTAACTTGGAAAAACCAAACATTTCGCCTAAAATTTTCGAGATGATCTTTAGGTAAGGGTTTCATTTTTCTTTGTGAATTTTAAGAAATTAAACAATGATATTCCTAAATGTTGCGAGTCAAAATCCTGACAACAAATAATCTAAAGTTTGGACACTTTCCTTTTTGACTTTAGATATATGTATACAGGCATTCTTGATTTGAACGAACAAACTGGCTCCGATATTTTTGGTATTCTTATAGCTTCTGATGAACTCATTCTTGAGGAATTGGCTATTTTTATACAAGAGCATTTGATTGAAAGTCAAAGTGAATGGTTACAACAAAATTTTGCTGAAGTAATACATGCAGTAATCAAAATGAAAAGTTGTAAACAACTTACAAACCAATTTTTAGAATTTATTTGTGAAGAACCCGAACCATTTTTTAATTCGCCAAAATTTTCAACGTTAGATAAAAGTTTCCTACTTGAAATAGTTAAAAGTAAAGATTTACAAATTGATGAAGTCGAATTATGGAATAGTCTTATTAAATGGGGAATTGCTCAAACTTCGGAATTGAAAGAAAAGGATGCGAGTAACCTAAGTAATTGGAATAAACAAGACTTCTTGGCTTTGAAAAATACTCTGAATCAATTCATCGAACACATCCGATTCTTCGAACTTTCTTCAAAAGATTTTAATGACAAGGTTCGACCTTTTAAGAAAGTTTTGCCTAAAACACTCTTTGAAGATATTGTGACGTTTTATATGACAAATAATCAACAAAATATGCCGCCTCCTCGTAATGGACGAGTTGACGTCGATTCAACGATCATCGGATCAAAACATGCGACCATCCTTACCAACTGGATTCAAAGAAAGGGTGCTAAAGAAAAGGTTCCAAAGCATAATAAATATAATTTTCAACTCATTTACCGCGGAAGCAGGGATGGTTATGATGACGCAATGATGCGTAAAAAATGTGATGGACAAGGAGCGTTTATTTTGGTTATTAAAACTAATGAAAGTGATGCTGTAATTGGTGGTTATAGTCATTTTGGTATCAAATCACTCTATGGGTCTTACGACTGGGTTAACACTACCGATAGTTTTATATTTTCTCTTGACGGTAGAAAAGACTTGAAAATTAGTCGAGTTGCAAATAAAAATTATGCAAATTATGGGTTGAATTTTGGCAATAGTGACTTGGTTATTACTGGTAATGCTGGCACATGCAAACAAAAATACTATGATAGTAAAATTTTAGATACAGACAAATTTATTATCAAAGAAATGGAGGTTTTTACATTCAAGGTTGTTTAATTTAAAAATTATTTGTAAAAGATTTTCTTTTTGTCATTTTATTTTTAAATTTTTAGCTTGTATTTTTACTATTTAAATTTGAAGTTTACCTAAAATTTTTGGTGTAAATATTATATTATTAAATAATTTTATCAATAAAAATAGTTATTGTAAGAAATTCTAATGCAAGCTGGACGAAAATTATTTTTTTAAAAAGGATGCATCATTTTAAATGTTTATCATAATCTAATAATTTCGTGGACAAGTACAAAAAAACAGTATTACATGGCATGATAAATATATAAGCCAATCAATCTTTTTTTTACATTCAAACTGAAAATTAATAATTCTAAATTAGTTAAATTCCAAACTGCGCCTTAATGGCTTATTTCTTTCTACGCCATATGAACTACGTCTCAAAATTTAAAAAGATGAAAAATCGCTGAATCAAAACAAATATTTTGTCAAAATATTTATTTAATTAAAACAAAAAAAATAAATAAAACTAGTTTAAAATACTTCAAAACTATATAAAAAGATGAAAATTTTTCACAGCCGGTATTAGAGGATTTTCTTAGTGCCAGCCGCATTACTAATATATCATTGCGCCCAGATTTCTTGTAAACAAAATCTATGACTTCAAAACGCGTTCGTTTTAAATAAGGGAGATAATTTAATTATTTAATTTACTAAAGAAATTTTAATTTAATTAATTTAATTAATTTTTATTAAATTCTATTTATACATATAAACATTTTATTATAAATATTTAAACATTTACATTATACGTTTTATTCAAATTTATTTGTTAAAGACAGACTTGCACTGAATAAGCCGCGAAGCCTTCTCTTTTTTAAACCATTTAAGCATTGAAACATAATTAAGGTTAACCTTTCTAGAATACTTCTTGTTAACGATGCTACATGCTATTTATTCGGAGTATTTATTTTTCTTCTAGTATACTCCGCATTAAGATTTGTAGACGATGTTTATGAAAGTTTCAAGGACACCTTAAAAACGATTCTTTAAAATGGTTTGTGTTGGGTTTGTTTAGCACATTAGATTGCATATAATTTGCTAAACAGAAAATAGAAAAAATTTCGTTTCTTGAAAAATGAATAGAAAGTCAAATCCAACTAGACTTTAAACCTGTTTGATAATCGTACAAATTAATTCTTTAATTGACAGATATTTGACTTGCAACTTGTTATTTTAATTGGCTGTAGAACCACTTTACATTTTTGAAAAAAAGTATGTTACACGAAGTGGGTTTTTGAAAATCAACTATCAACTTTTCTAAAATTGCTTTTTGGTGTAAAGTATGACGTGCCGTAAAAAAGATGTCAAAAGATGAAAACTTGTTCGTCCGTCGCAAAGGAAGTTGCAAAAAAAGGATCATACCGCAGGAGAATGCGTGATAGTACATTACAAAGACATTAAATCGGTTTACATTTGCATTCAAAGGGAAGGGTGCACAAGAACAAGGAGCTCAATCCCAAAAAGATATTAACATATGAATTTTTACAAGGTGTTGAAATGTAGGTCACATAATCGGCATTAAAAAGTCCGATTATACACTTTCTTTAAATAAATTTTTTTCTGTGTCGTTACTTTTAAATTTTTTTTTTTCTTTCTTTTTTTTTTCTTTTAAAGAAAAAAATTCTTTACACTATATGCTAGTGTCACACGATCCTATTGTAACAACTTTTTTTAGACTAGTTCGGATGAACTTTTTATATATATTTATAAACTTATTGCGTCGTTATGCATTTTTGATGATGGAACTTTTTTCCAATGGTTATTATTGTAAAGTTCTTAAGGTTTAATTGTTTGTCTAATAGGTTTCTATCATTATACAAATTTGGTTGAATCACATTCAAAAAGCTGTGGATAAAATCTTTCTTTGCCTTTTATTAAATGTAATGATATCATACAATGTCATGACTATTATGAGGAGAATTTCCTTTACTTTCAATTTTGGAGGTATTTTAATGTTCATACAAATACAAACGTAAATTTTTTAAAAAAAAAAAAAAAAAAAAAAATATTACAAAATGACGGCTCGCTACAATTCTATGGAGAATAAAAGCACATTTCCGAATTTGTGTCATAGATAATAAATGTTTTTTTCTTTGTATCTGTATATTAATGATTTCTTGGCGATTTATCTAAAATATAATTGGAAATGATTGTAATTTTTTTTTTTTCGGTGACGAGTTCAATCAGAACGTAACAAGCACCGTATTTTAATATTGAAAAAAAAAAAGGTCTCAAATGGGTTAATTGAAAATATTAGTCATAAAATGAAACAATGACAGTAGCACAAAAAATATATAAAATAAATAAAATTATGTGGCAAACTACTTGAAGTTTTTGTATAAATGATAGAAAAACCCAAATTCCATTCATGAGTGGTAAATAAAAAAAAACCCAAGTATTATATCAAGTTATTTTTAATTCCGCAACTTCAAAGCTCTCTCCGAACATTCGTTTTATCGACAATCATTACCAAATATAAAAGGTTTGAATCATGTGACAAATAAAAGTGTCAGAGGAGAAAAAAGGTTTGCTCAGCCAGAATAAATGATTAGGAAGCTCAGCCAAATTTTTTTTTTTATTTTACGCCTCCCGTTCGTAGAATTTCTGTATACAACTTGCTTGATAATTGATTTTTGTTAATTAGAATAAAGCGCGGTAGTTGCTCAATATCTTAATCGAAAATGGGAAAGTGGCATTAAAAATAAATAAAATAAAACAAAAAAAAAAAAAAAAAGCGGAGTCATGATGTATATGGATGGATTTCACTTTTATATATTATATATATTATGTTACGCTACTATAGAAAATTTCCTCATATAAATAAAGACTTCAATCACATCAAAATTTTTTTTTTTTTTAGAATAATAAATTTTTTTTTGTTATAATCTCTTGAATCGTTAAATATATTATTTACCACATTAAAGATACCCGAATGAAGTCTTCGTATAGAATACTCGTTTACTTGCTGATATTATGTTTCGCGGTTTCAAATGTTTATGGTGAAGCACGAATCTTTGAAGTCTCCGACGTTGATACTCTAAACAATTCTTATATTATACAATATGAATCAACGTTAACCTCAAAGATCACACTAGATAGAATTAAAAATGCTGGAATAAAATACACATTAAGACAAGATTTAGAAAACATCATGAACGGTATATCCGTAAAGCTTGAAAATCATGAGGATCTGCATAAATGTGCTGAAGTTTCTGGAATCAACAACATTTGGCCTGTGGTATGTTGTGATTACTTTGCATGTGGGGATTTTAAAAAAAAAAAACTTTGAGGCGATTCAGATTTGAATGCGTTGACTAAAAAAAAAAACATTTAATTCTTTCCTTTCAGAGAAAGTTTCATCCAAGATTATTTACTGCAGATAATATAACGGGCCTAGGCACCTTTCGACAAAATAGTGGATTCGATGGTTCAGGAGTTAAAGTTGGAATCATTGATAACGGACTTGATTATATGCATCCAGCTTTCGGAAAGTGTTTCAAAACGCCAGGATGTAAAACGCAATTTGGTTACGACTTCGTAGGTGATGGAAATGTTTTCAATCCAAATCCCGACGACGACCCTCTTGAGACATGCGAAGGTCACGGGACGCATGTTGCAGGAATCATTGCTGCGGACGATCACGAAAGACATTTTACTGGTGTAGCCCCTGGAGGTAAATCAAATGAATTATGAAATGATTTGAATTTTAATTTAAATTCAACAAATAACGTTATAACTATTATTACTTTAGCTACACTTGGAATTTACAGAGTTATCGATTGTTCTTCATCAACTACGGATGACTTAATTATTAAAGGATTGGAAAAAGCGACCGTTGATGGGATGGATGTTATAAATATGTCTCTAGGAGGAAATTTTCAAGCTTGGGGCGACACACCACTTGGAATCGTTCTTAACGATCTGGCTCTTAAAGGCTTTGTCATGGTTGTTTCTGGTTCAAATGCTGGTAATAATGGATTATTTGCCGCAGGTAACCCTGATTCCACACCTAACGTCATAACCGTCGGTCACGTGGACAATTTTCAATTCTTTTCTTTTGTGTTGAAACCGAGTAACGATCCAAAAAAGCTAATTCGTAAGTATCCATTCCATTCTTCTTTTCTTTCCAATGAATAAATTCAAACGGTTGAGTAAATAATTTTTTTTTTCTTCAATTTCGACGATAGCTTATGCTACCACACGTATATCTTTGAGGTTTCCATTTACTGGACCTCATCCAATCGTTATTGCAAACACCACAGAAAACGAACCCGAATTTGATGGTTGCGATCCATACAATAAATCTTTAAACGGCAAGATCGCTTTAATACGTCGTGGAGATTGTGATGTTCGATTTAAAATCGAAAATGCTGCAGATGCTGGCGCTACTGCTGTGATGTTTTATAATACCGATGATTCATTACCGGGTACTGTACCTTTATCAATCCATTTTCCAAGCTTATCAATCAGTAAAGTAGATGCTGAATATTTGAAAAAGCAAATTCGAAAGAATTCCAGCTTGACAGTTTCTTTTCCGGAAAAGGTAATTGTGATCCCACTTGAAGATGCCGGTAAACCTTCAAGATCAAGTTCGTGGGGTCCAACTTTTGATATGGATATTAAACCTGAAGTAATGGCACCTGGAGGTCGTATATTCAGTACATACCCAAGAAATTTAGGAAGTTATGCCACCATTTCTGGTAAGTGAACGGAATTTTTAATTTCAAGGAAAGGTAAACCTTATTAAAGGAAATTTTTTTTTGATATATTTATTATTTTAGGAACGTCGATGGCGGCAGCATATGCATCTGGAAGCATAGCACTTTATATGCAAGCAACGGGATTAAGGAGAGGAACGATCGATCCAATAAAACTTCGAGAACTTCTTACATATACTGCCAATCCAATTTACCCCGATTCAAAAGATGAAAACGCAAAGATTCCAATTTCAGTCGATAAACAAGGAGGAGGACTTATTGATATTGTTGGAGCAATTAAAGCAAAAGCACTCATTAAACCAAGCAAATTATTACTTAACGATTCAGCACATTTTAATGGAACTCAAACGATTAGGATAAAAAACACGGGGAAAAAGACTACAAAGTTTACATTTTCGCATATTCCATCAGTTTCGGTAAGAGGATGGTTTGATAATCAGTGGGTTGATACTAGTTCATTCGTGATCGAAAAACGTTTTGCCGGGGTGAAATTCTCAAAGAATTCCGTCATTGTGCGACCTGGGGTAACGACCAAAGTGAAAGTTATATTTACCCAGCCCAAAAATTTGCCGAATGATTTTGGAATTTACTCGGGATACGTCACAATAAGCGATTCGGCTCAACATCAAACATATTCACTCCCATACTTGGGACTAAAAGGTGATTTACACTCGCTTCCCACTTTATCGAATGATTCGTATCCATTTATTGAAAGAGCTGATAACAGAGAACGTTTTGATCGAGAGGATCAAATTGCCCGTTTCACATTGTTTAAAGGAAACGAACGTGAAGATGTCCCAGTCTTTCTTTACCTCTTGAATTTTGGTAGCAGACTAGTCAAGCTAGAATTGTATCATAGAGGAGATTTTACTCAAACAGGATATCTAGGACTTTTGGAATTAGATCCAGATTTTATAAATCTTGATACTACAGCTCCTCGAAATGGTGGAACCGGAGATTTTCGAGATACATTTAAAATCTGGAGTTCTGGTGCGGTTTCAGACATCAATGGGAATGTCATTGTAGTACCGAATGGACAATATCAAGCCTTACTTTCAGTTTTAAGACCTTTTGGAGATCCAAATAAACAGGAAGACATTATGACTTGGAGATCTCCTATTATTGAAATTGCGCGGCGATAATTTTTTTTTTTTGTTTCATCACATAATTACGAGAATTTTGTAAATATTAATAAGAATAAAATTAAATAAATAAATAAATATATATATATCCGATAAACAGTATATTAGATAAAATAAATACGCGTTTATTTTTAATTATTTTTTACTTTTTAAAAAAATTTTTCGATATGCGAAAATCACGAGCCTGATTTTTAAAAATTTTAGGATAAAAAAAAAAAAAAAAAAAAATTTTTTTCACGTAATTAGGCATGAATTGTTGGTCTGACTTCATCCTCAATGTTACCACCTCTTCGTAAATACATCCAACCCAATCTGGCAGCATATATCAGATACAATATCGCCATCAATAACGTGCAAACCATTTCCCTAATTTTCCACGTCACAAAATACAACAATTGACTATTGATGAATTGTGTATAAGCCATGAAGAAGAATAATATGGTCCAAATGGTCGCTTCCCTCCACACCAAAGAATGTGTTATAGAAGACAAATACCAAGAAGTGGGAATCAATATGAAAAAGGGATGTATTGCGTAAACGGAGAACAATAAAATATATAAAGTTGGTCGTCTCTTTTCGTAATCATCATCATCGCCTCCTCCTGGTGGTGGTGGTTGGTTATCGGGGTTATCGTCGATTTTTTTATTAATGTAAAACAAAGATATCAACGTAAACATGGCCAAGATGACAAAAATGAACATTCCACATATCGCAATTCTCCTTTCGGTTTTTCTACGAGCATTAAAGACATTCCTATTATTTAGGATAGGTGTGGTTTCCGTAGCGGTGGAAAGATATGACTTCATGTAATGCTCGGTCAAGAGTTTATGATAAAGAAAAAATATGACTACAAGTTGTCCGATGGATGAAATCCCAAAGGTACTTAAAGAGAATGAATAAAACAATGAACCAAAGGTAATTGCAATTATTCCTTGTACTATTGACCATATTGAAAGGATAATAAATAAGATGGTTATAGGGATCGTATATTTCCGTTCACCTGAAAGTTCGGAACGCTGTTGAGGCATTTTTTTTTTTTTTTATTTTCTTGGGTAATTTGATTAGAAAGGACTCACGAATTTGTAAAAAAAAAAAACTTTTTTCAGAGGGAACGATAAATATTAAATCGTATTGTGATGATCGACTTAATCAAGTTAACTTTGTTTTAATTTAATGATGATGATGTAATTTTCATAATGATACAATTATGAACAAAATATAAATGACATAAAAAAATGTCATTCTATTGGCGCAGTAAATATTAAATAAAATCGGAATTTTCAAGAATTTTATTACTCCTCTTTTCATGATTAAAATAATTGGTTGGAAAAAGGTCAGTTATTATTCTCTGTCTCGATCATTAACAAAATATATATATATATATATTAAGTATAAAATTGAATCATACTTCGATAATCGAATTCGTGCACAATTTGATAAAAAGATAATTATTTATTTAGAGTTGAAGGTATAGTCAAATTCTTGTTGCTAATCACACCTTTTTTGACATAAAATAATTTAAAAGATAAAATTGTTCCTCGTTAAAGTTCATTGATCGTTCTATAGATTTACTCCTCCTCCTCTTCTAAATCTTCAATTTCATTACTATAACTAATCTCGCCTTCAATCTTCCCCCTCCACCAATATATCCATCCAAAATTAACAGCAAATACCACAAACATTACTGCGATAATCAACGTAAAAACTACTTCTTGCAATTTCCAAGCTATAAATAACACCAATTGGCAATTGATGAAAACTAGATAAGCGATAGAAAAGAATAACGCTGCCCAAACAGTTGCTTCTTTCAACGCTTCGGATTGTTTGGAAATGGATAAATACCATAAAGAAGGAATCAGAATTAAATAAGGATGTAAGACGTATATACCAAATGCTAACAGTTGCAGAGGTAGTAGTACATCATCATCTAAAGGAGGAATCGTTCCTGGTGGTAACGGTTTCTGATGATCTTTCTCTTGATATTTAACATAAAACGCAATAAAAGTAGTAATTGTTGCAAATATCATAAAAATGATAATACCGAATAAAATAATATATTTTTCGGTTTTTTTACGAGAATTGATGTGAATTTCAATTTCAAATAATTCAATTGCCTCCATAATAGTGTGGATTCGTGATCTTTCGTAGTGTTCTGTTAAGAGTTTGTGATGAATGTAAAGAATAATTACAATTTGTGCGAAAGAAGAAATACCAAATGCAACTAAACATGGTGAATTAAAGTTTGATCCAATGTGAAATGAAATTATTCCTTGTGCCGCTGACCAAATTATAAGAATAACGATCACGATGCATAATTTGAGAGTATATTTATTTGATGATCTGATAGTCAACTGTGATGTTTGAGAAAGAGGATCATTTCGTGGAAATTCTTCATACATTTTATTTTTTATTAAAAAGGGAGAGAGGGAAAAGAAAGTAATTTGAGAAAGAAATCTCCACTAAATTTTATTATGAAATTTGAAAAATTTGGTTAACGCCAAAAAATTGACGTAGTATTAATGTAATAAAATTACATTGCGCCGATCATACTGTTCTATTTAGAGAAATTTCTGGGAGGGACCAAAAAGTTATTTAATTATCATCCATTAAATTCCAAAAATTTAAAAAAGGTCCGAACTTACATAAAAATATCTAATTATTTTTATTTTTTTGGATTTGGATTTTTTTGTTTCTTATTTAACGGGAATATTTAAAGTGAATTGTCTTTTTAAATCTATAAAATTAAATTCGGTAATATTTATTATTTTATACAATTTTGTTTAGATTTATATATTTAGTTAGACGTTTTTAAGTAAAAAGGAAGGAAGCTACAAAAAAAAGATTTTTACTTTATGTGGTATGGGCCGGCCCACATATATGATTTCTCTTTATTGTAAAACATCCAGTTAATCTTAAATAATTACATTTTAAAAATTCTTGGTTAGATTAAAAATGAATTAATTCTAAATTAATATATTTAAATTAAAAAAATTTTTTATTATCCTATATAAATATTATTTTAATATTAAAGAAATTAAGCAATTATAAATGGTTTAAAAAGTTTTACTAAATTTGCCAATTTTAAAAAATTTTTTTTTAACAATATTTTTTATTTTTTTTTTTTACAATTCTATACTTTTATAATTATTAAATTCTATATTTTATAATAAAAAATCAAAATTTTATAAAAATATTACATTAAATATTTCTTAAAATAAATTAAGTAAAAAAAAAAAAATTTCTTAATTTTAACTATAATAAATAATAAATTATATGATCTATTATTAAATTTTATATTAAATAAAATTTTATTTATTATTATTATTTTCTAAAATATATTAATTAATTCATTATTAAAAACTTTAGCAGTAGAAAAGATAAGCAGATTTAAAGTGTAAAAAAATATATCTTTAAGATCCTAATTTTACTTATCTAAAAAATTAAATTCTATTTCTATATTAAAATTATATATAAATATAAGTATAAAATATCAGTTTATAGTCTTTAAAATACTAAAATTAATAAATATTATTATTTAAATTCTAGAGTAATTTGAAGTTAAAATACTTTAATTGATTCTTATATTCTAAACATTATATAATATGTAATTGATTTTAGAATTCTAAGCTATATAAAACTAAAAAAATATATATTATTATTCTTATATTTTAAGGTATTATAAAGCTAAAAAAAATATATGTAATTAATTCTAAAATTTTAAGCAGTAAAAGTGATTGGATTAGATTTATAAAAACAATTATATTAATTACTTTCTAAGTTTTTTAAAATTTATTTATATATTTAATTATATAATAATTACTAGTAAATTTTTTATAAAAATTAGGTTTAAAACTAATTAATTATTATAAATTTTAAAATATATATAATAATATTCATAAATTTTTTAAATCGAAATAATAATTATAAAAATATTTGCCTAGCATAATTAAAAAGAATATAAATTAATAATTTATTTTAAATAAAAAGTTTTGAATGTATTAATAAAAATATAATAGTTAACTATAACATATTAAATTATTATTAATTAAAATAATTAAAATAGAATATATTTAAGACAAAAAATATAATAAATTAGATATATCATATATGGAAGTGTTTCTAGGAAAATCAGATTCTGAGAAATTTTTGACTAAAATAAAGAGCTTAATACATTTTAATCTAATAATATCAAAAACTAAAATGCAATAAA